AAATACATTTTTTTAATGGAAATTAACTTTGAGAGTTCATCTAAACATCTGTCTTAGAAATTCACGTCGAGGGCTATGAAGGGAAGAGATGCTGTTAGAACAGAGGAAAGGGGGTGACTTCTCCAAAGACCGACGTGCTCCGACGGAGGGCCGGGGTGTTTCGGCGGTAGCCAAACCTTCCATTGAACCCACTGAGTGGTTTCAGATCAGCATTGTAGTGGTTGTGCCCAGTCACCTGCTGGAGAGAATGCCCTTGGGGGCGAGGAGAGAGAGGCCTGAACCTGCATTCAGCCCACCTCTTGGCCTCCCCATTCTCCTGGGTGTGGTAGGGGAGGCCAACCAAGTGTAGTCACTGCATTCCCTGTGCCCACAGCCCAGTATGCAATCCTGAAATGTCCCGAGGCTCTGAGCTGAAAAACTAAGGGCTGGTGAGGCTGGGGGACAGAAGGCTTCCTAGAAACCAAAACTTGCACCAGGAATAATTGCATGAAGACTGTGAATGGTTTGTGCTGGGACAGGAGAGGCCAGAAATTCTGGGCTTGGCAGAGCTTGCCTTTCTCCCACGAGAAATGAGGAAAATCTCACCCTTGCCTCTGACCCATGTGGAAAAAATGGATGAGATCAAGATCAATTGGGCCAAATGTACAAAGGATCATGTGACTAGAGGAGAGGCCCAGGATGGTGGAGGAATTGGACTAGGAGGAGGGTTTACCCTGTTAGAAAAATATCTCTTGCTGTGCATGGTGGCTCACACCTGTAATCCCAGCACTTTGGGAGGCGGAGGCAGGTGGATCACGAGGTCAGGAGTTCGAGATCAGCCTAGCCAACATCACAAAACCCTGTCTCTATTAAAAATACAAAAAATTAGCCAGGCTTGGTGGCACATGCCTGTAATTCCAGCTACCGGGGAAGTTGAGGCAGGAGAATTGCTTGAACCTGGGAGGCAGAGGCAGGAGAATTACTTGAAGCTGGGAGGCAGAGGGAGACTGAGGCAGGAGAATTGCTTCAACCTGGGAGGCAGAGGGAGGCTGAGGCAGGAGAACTGCTTCAACCTGGGAGGCAGAGGTTGCAGTGAGCCGAAATCACGCCACTGCACTCCAGCATGGGTGACAGAGTGAGACTCCATATCAAAAAAAGAAAAAGAAAGAAAAATCTCTCTCAACTCTTTCTCATTGTTGTTAACCTGGGCCTGGAAATTGAGCAGGATGCAGCAGGGAGAGGAACAGGGGCTATGGAGTTGGAAGAGCGGAATCTTAAACCCCCAGCTCAGAGCCTCTTGCCAAATCACTTTAACTCAAGAAACTTGTTTCCCCAACTGTGCCATAGGGTTAGTGAGAGTGAAAAGTGCCTAACAAATGGCTCATGTCTATAATGCCAGCACTTTGGAAGGCTGAGGTCATAGGATCACTTGAGCCTAGGAGTTCAAGACCAGCCTGGGCAACATAGGGAGACTCTACCTCTACAAAAAATAAAAACTTAACTGAGTATGGGGGTGCACACCTGTGGGCCCAGCTGCTCAGGAGGCTGAGGTGGGAGGACTGATGAAGCCCAGAAGGTCAAGACTACAGTGAGCAGTAATTGTGCTACTGCAGTTCATGCAATCCAGCTTGGGCAACAGAGTGAGACCATGTCTCAAAGAAAAACAGAAGTGGGGCCTGACATACAGTAGGTGCTTATTAACTAATATTAGGGAGCACTGTGGGACCGTCTGTCGTGTATGTGAAGGAAAGCTGGAAGGACGCGGTCCCTTGGCCTCTTCCGGTCAGCCAGGCTTCGTTATGGCCCAGGAACCATGATGAGGCTGGAAATAGAGGCAGCACTTGCCTGACCCTGCCCAGTTTCTCCTGTTGAGGTATCTCTGTCCTTGCCCGAAGATGTGGATGTAATCTACTATCCAGCCATCCCTTCCTGTACCGCCATGATCCTGAAAGTGGGGAAGAGAATACAGAAGACTGTGAGCCACAATGCTGAGGTGGCCACAGTGCATACTGCCTTGGGGTTTGCTGGGGAGAGAGGGAAGAAGTCAGAGCCTTAGGTAACCGGGATGGACAGATTAAATATATTTAAGAACCAGGCCGGGCGCGGTGCCTCAGGCCCATAATCCCAGCACTTTGGGAGGCTGAGGCAGGCAGATCACCTGAGGTTGGGAATTCGAGACCAGCCTGACCAACATGGAGAAACCCCAAAATACAAAATTAGCTGGGCGTGGTGGTGCACGTCTGTAATCCCAGCTAGTCGGGAGGCTGAGGCAGAAGAATTGCTTGAACCTGGGAGGTGAAGGTTGCTGTGAGCCAAGATTGTGCCATTGCACTCCAGCCTGGGCAACAAGAGTGAAACTTCCGGGCCGGGCGTGGTGGTTCACACCTGTAATCCAAGCACTTTGGAGGCCAAGGCAGGCGGATCACCTGAGGTCAGTAGTTCAAGACCAGCCTGACCAACATGGTGAAAGTGAAACCCCATCTTTATAAAAAAAATTAAAAAAAAAAAAAAAAAGGCCGGG